AAAAGTGACGGTAAATTTTATGCCGTCGTAGCAAATAGATCAGTGTAATCAAGTGAGATCGGTTTATAGTACGTAGCAGCGTAAAACTTGTTGTCACTTTTCTCCGCGACGGCGTCGTTTCTCATATCTCGCGCGCGCTCCTTTCATTGGGAATAAATTCTCATCGATGATATTTGAAGGCCGAAAGCTAAAACGAATTAAAAGACAGAGAAGAAGTAATTTCTCTCTCCCGGGTATAATTTTTCCTCAGAAGTAGTCCGCGCACGGAGAAAAGTAATTTGCTGGCACAGTAAATTTTATGCCGTCGCGGTAAAACCTGTCTGTTATCGCGTGGACAGCGAAACGATTTGTTAAGTACTAATTGCCATTTGCTGGATATATTTTGTTAAATCTGCAAATTATTTTTGCTGTAAGGACAAATTAAGTAAGGACTTTTCCCCAAGGACGGAAAAGTGAAAAGTGAAATCTCATCAAATTAGAAAATTTACACTTTTCACGAATTCAGAATTGGAGGAGAGGATTCATGGCCGACAACCAGATGGTCATAAATTTTCTCCTGCAGTGTGAACTCGTGAAAAGTATAAATTTTCAAATTTGAAAACACTTCACTTCTCACATTTCCGTCCTGGGGGAAAAGTTATATGATCGATACACAGATAATCGCCTTCGCTCGGTGAAAAAAGAATAACGAGCGAGAAAACTCAGAAAGATAGCGGGATAGATGCACGAGGATGCAAATGACGATGGGACGCACAACCGTTGCGGCGCATCCTGAAGAATGCAACGCGCCGTAATGACGTGAGATATCGAAGGTGGATCTGTGCCAAGTCGGCCGGCGCGCCTCTACACGAGAGGTGCAACACGCTCGTAAACACGCGCGCGGAAAATTGCTGCTTAGAAGCGTTACAATTATGCAAATCGATCGAACGGTGCCATAATACTCCTCGCATTATGCGCTTCATCTTCCGTTTACGACGGGAGAAATTTAGCGCGCAAAAAGCGACGACGCGCGACGAAAGTAGTCGAGCCGACGCTCGTCTGTTATCAGACAGCCGGGAAATTTCCAGAGAGCGATTTCAAGATAGTCCAGCGATTAAGTGATGCATGATTTCAAGGAAAAGTACTTTGCAATCGCTGGCTTGGTCAAGCAACAGGTCATTAGTGGAGGGTTCTTGTTGCCGGAGCGATCTGCCGGATCGCTGCATTCCAATGAACCGAGGTCGTGAATTATGAAAAAAGATATTAAAAACGAAGAGGAAATGTTTGACAGGACTAATTTACGTAATAACTGCATGATAAGTGCTCAAGGAAGTAAAGTAAGAAAATTTACGGAACTACTCAATTATTAGAATAATGTAAAAAATGGACGGACCCTTCAAAAAGCCGGCCACACGTCAAGATTGGCAGGAATTCGAAGCTCCATTTTTTAATTCATTCTAACAGTTGGGGTATGTTTCGTTTAGTATGTTTCGCAAATTAGATCTTTCATTGGCTCTTGGTTGGCTTTCCTTCGTTTCCTATTGATTAATTGGGCATCAGAGAACTTTGATATTCCGTCTTTTAATTATTAAAGAGATTATAATTCGAAGAAAGAAAGATTTTAATATCATAAAGAATAACAATGGTGAGTTCCTGATTTTGCCGATAAATTTATCTTTATCATTCCGTTGTTCTTGCTAACAGGTATGAGCACGGGGGGTAGCCTGCAGCACAGGGAGGCTTTCAGCTAGAGACCTGCAATCACATTTCGCAAAATTGTGTCAACATAACAATCCCGACGAGAGATAGCACTCAGACGACTCGTATCTTGAGCTATCACGAGTCATTTTTATCGCTCGACTTTTCATTTTTGTTACTTCCTTCACGTCCTGTGCAAGTAGACACAAATTATTTGCAACCCTGTCCCCTCCGTATGACGACACATGTCGTGGTCGCTTTCATTCGCACGCGATACGCGCGCCGAACGTTGGCGATCCGACGCGAAGTCGAGGACTCGCAATCCTCGCGACGAGAACACGCGGATCCTTGTTTGTTTCGGTAGAACAAATTATTGACAGTACACTCAAAATGCGAGAATATTTCTCAGTAACAAATCCTTGTGCAAACAGCCGCCACGTGTCCCCGACGTTTCCCGTTCCCGGGTAACGCGTAGGCGGCGATAGGCTTACATTATTCATTGACGCTCGATGAAAAATCGAGTGAGTCCCCTTCCCCTTCCCCATCCACCTGAAATTGAGAAGTAACGCGTTACTTGTAAAGCCGTTCTCGTTATAAGTTATTTTTTAGTAAAAACTTGAATAAAGATTGTACTATTATTTATGTACGTATGAAATATTCAACAAGAAAGAACATAGATACGCGATATGCATGAAAAGTAATCAGTATAATACATTCACGTTCATATTTTTCGTATAAATGCGAAATGAACTTGCTTGTATTATTTCAAAGCACGATATGAAAATTTAGGTCATACATAGTTTAAGGGATGTGTTCAAATGTGTTCAAATGTTTTTTTTTATTGCATTATCGCATATATTAACCGCAATTTTGAATTTTGAAAGCCTCCGTCCCATTCTATAGACATGGTGTTAAAAACGCCACGTTTTAGCATCCGCGGAGCTTCAACTTGACTGGTGACATCGTGATTGATGAGCGTTAATACGGACGTACGAATCGATGTTGATTGCCAACGCTATCTGTGCGCCGTTGATCCCTCGGCAAACTGATATTCCGTGTCGTGCTATTAAATGTACAAGATACACTTTGATAATCTCTTGCGCGCCTCGGGCGTACCTCGGCTTCTTTATTGCATTGCAGCACAATAATATTCGCCCGATTGATAAAAAGCCTTGATAATACCTGCAAATATACCTGTATATTAATACCCGTAAAAAACACCTGTAAGAAGCGCGGCAATGATCGTTCTCGTCGCGTGTGTCGCACTTCCTTATCGTTTTCCCAGCTGATTATTGTGCTCCTGGCTGACTTCTCTCGTAATCTCGAAGTGGAAATCACAAAAACGCCCGATAAAACCTCCTTTAATTGGAATCCTTCACCTCGAGTTTCGGGAAAATCAAACAAAAAAGATCATTTGCGAGATAATGATCGGCTCGGTCATGTAACAGAAAATCGATTGGCACCGAGTTTCATGGTTTGGCACGTTAAAACTCTTCCCCGTATGCGTTGTTAACACCGTTGGTTTCTATAGCAATGTCCCGGGCATTATCTGCTGATTAGCAAATGCGACATATGGTCGTCGTTGGTTTTATTAGATTATCTGCCATTTATTTTTAACCGCAGATCGTACGCGAACACGTCAGGTGCCTGCGAGACCGCGAACATTCAGAAGGGAACATTGTAAATCGTAAGTAACAAGTACGTCTTATATTTTACAACAAACGTGTTACTTTCCGGCCGAATGATATCTTGCAAAGGTAATATAACGTTGTTGAAATTAAAGAGACACGCGCACTCCTCTGTCCTGGCAAAAATTACGTTTCTCTTTCAGTAATCTTTCAGTTTCCTACAGTAAGAAAGAAGCAAACTTTTCATTTGTTTAGAGGTAGCATAAAATAAACATCTCCGAAACGCTAAATAACTTTGATGATATCTAATAAAAGCGAAGCTGACAATTACACTATCTCGTAGACTTATTCCTTATAGAACAACCATGCACGCCTGTTTCTAGCTTTCCCGTCATACTTCGCAGATAGACGGTACAGACAGAAGGACGTCTGAGTACCATAGAGAATGTGGCTCACTATTAATAAAACTTTCCTTGCAATATAAATGAATAACATAATAAAAATAAATTTTAACTTGGTATAAAAATATCTTTGACGTAGTTTCTAACTGAAAAACAAGAAAGTCCATCTCCAAGTATTTAACAATAAAAAGAAAAATATTCACAAATCTTAGGGGTTTTCTTTATGAGTGTGACACAACTGTGTCTCTCAACTGCAATAAAAAATTAACTTCTTTTGCTTCTTTACTTAGCATGAGGGATCGTTTGCAATTTCAAGATTACTTTTATAATAATTGAAATTAAACCGCATTATTTGCTTTAAGTTAAATTGATATTCCTCCATAACATTTATAACTTAATAATTTTGCTCTTCAACGTTTAGATATTATCGTAACATGGAGCGATCCAATTTTTAAACGGCAATCGTCTCAAAAACACGTCGAAGTTCGACTGTAAATTCAGGGCCCGCTCATTCATGATGATCTCAAAGCGGTGTAATCGCCCTAAAAACCTCTAATCTTCTAACAAGGCGGCTACATCGCCGTGGCACGCGTCTAATGCATACACGAGGAGCGGGGAGAGCGCTAAGGGTACCCCTCTATGGTGATTATGGGGTGAATTCTCCCTCTTCCTCTCTCTCTCTCTCTCTCTCTCTTTCTTCCTCCCTCGGTGCCCCATAGAGCCCCGGTAGCCCTGCTACTCGTGGAGGGGGCAAAATACCCCCGGGACGGTATATATGTTCTAAGAGCCCTTTGCCACATGCACAGTACCAAATTGTACCCCGCCTAGTCCGCTCGTCGGTGAGTTCTTATTTTCTCGCGCGAATCGCGTCAATCCGTCGCGCTTTGCGATAGCGAAGTGTTTCCAATAATCGCTCGTCTCTTTATCCTACGAGAGTGCAGTTTCCATTCTGTGTTGCGTGTCACTTTGGGATTACTTTGTCTCGCCTGGGATTACTCACTTTTCTCTCAGCTCGTCGAAAGGTACGTTGCAAGTGCTCGTCGAACTCGATGATCTCAGTTCGCGAATTCGCAACATTTGTTACACGGGAATTTATTCGTAGTAATTTCTCAGACAGGATTTGACGGGGGGAAATATGGATCTTTCACTCACAGAGGGTGCGATATAAATAAAAGGCATTCTACTCTTTTTTTTCTTGTATGTTAAATATCTTTTATTTCTAAATTTAATTTGTATAAATCGAGTCAGGGTGTAAAAACGCCACGATTCATTCGCGTTACAGCTAGAGAGAGTGATGTCGTCGGAGTATTCGTTCTGCAGCGAGGGTGGCTTCGACGAGCTCTCAAGCTCCTCCGATTCTGGTTTCGACGTCAGTTTCGAGTCGCCGAAGCACGAAGTGCCGGCCGACACCCTCTTCGCCCCGGTCAAGGAAGAGAAGCGTAAGAAGACTCGGAACACTCGCTGCAAAAGTCCTACTCAGGTACGCACATCACCGTCGTCGATTTCCATGCGTCGAAACGGAGCCTTAAAAATCGCGTCTGAATGAACAAACATTTTCATCGGCAACCACGCGATTTAAATCACCAGAATTCCACGTTTCTAACACAGATTCGTACAGACTCTGAAGAGTTCAACGAAAGTAAGAAATACGATTACTGAAGACGGTCCATACCAAATTTCAGTCGAGGACCGAAATGTTCAGAATCCTTTCCTTCATAATATTAACAGAATGATGTCATAATATGGATTGAAGATGTTACATAATATCTTGTCTCGTTAATTGCACTAAAAGAACCGTGGATAGGCAAATAAATATGTACTTGGCTCTGAGTTTTTCACGAAAATCCTTACAAAAAAGTGCTAGTCAAGTAAATAATTACTCGAATACTTCTCAGCAAATCTGTACTCGACTTAAGTAAATTTTACTTGGATTGAGTAAATATCACTTGATCAAAGTAAAAAAACTCGCTAAAAAGTATTGAAGGAGCACTTTTTCTCCATGTACGAACTTATGGAGGGACCCGATAATGAAACCTTAACGTTCGCGTCTTTTTCTTCGCGAACAGGTGCTGAGGCTGAAGAGGAACCGGCGGATAAAGGCGAACGACCGCGAACGTCATCGGATGCACACGCTGAACGACGCTCTGGAGCGGCTGAGGATGGCCTTACCGACCTTTCCGGAGGACACGAAGCTGACGAAGATCGAGACCCTGCGCTTCGCCCACAACTATATCTGGGCGCTGTCGCAGACCTTGGGCAACTCGGAGACCGGCGAGATCACCGTGAATGTCGGCAACGTCACCGTCAGCATCGGCGAGAACGGCAACATGATCACCTCGTCGACGGGCAGCTGCGCGGTAGCCGCGCAGAAGAGGCTCGGCCCAACGCACAGCAGCTTCTCGTATCCTCAGGAGCGATTCGTGCCGGAATGGCAGGAGTACGATTGCTACAGCGACCAGAGCGTGAGTCCGCCTATGCAGTACCAGCCCTGCTATGACCAGAGGATGTACCAGCCTCATCGTCCTCAGCTAGCGCCGCCGCCTCACCATCACATGGCCCATCACACCAACATGTACCAGTGTCTTTAGGCAGCGACCTTCACTGCGCTGCGCCTAGAATTAACCACTACCAATTGTGACAATCCGTAAGTCGTCGGCGTAAATCGTTGGGATTGACGTTTCTCTGTCTGCGTTGGAAGCAGTGTCGTGATGCTGAGGAAAACGGTGACGCAGTCGCTCTATGAATTTATTCGAGGGTTATTCGAGGGTTAGCCAAAGGAAAAAAATTGGAGGAAGGGTATAATAGTAAATGAAAAAAAGTGTTAGATTAAAATAAATATTTGCTCCAATACTCCTTAGTAAATTTCACAATGGATTGGATTAAGTAAATTTTACTTGGATCAAGTTAATATTTTAGCTGGATAATTTATCTGGAAAATATTTTACTTGAATCAAGTAAATATTACTTGATCTCTTTTTACTTAAAAATTTACTAGAAGTATTAATTATTTTGTTGAATCTAGCACTTTTTTTCTGTGTAGCTGAAGATCAAAGGGTGCTCTCTTCCCGTAGAGTCGATGTGCTAGTGAAAAAAAGACAGTGCTATGATTTTATCGTTATCTACTTTATAAGAAAGTATCTTTTATTTGAGGAGTATCGCGATGCGGTGTCAGTCGATTGGGACGGTTCTTCAATTCAACGTTCGACGTCCTGTTTCTGATTCTTCAGTGAACCCATGCTTCTTTCCTTTTCTCTTTTGTCATCCTGGGGAAAGTGGGAAAAGTGTAAGCGAGGTGTTCTCGTGCGTTTGGCCGATTTGATTCAAAACTAATCGAGAATATTCCTTTCTTTTTACACGGAGAAGAATAATTTGCTGGCACAGCAAATTTGATGTCGTTACAAAATCTGTCAGTTATGTGGACAGCGAAACGATTTGTTGAGAGTATTAATTATTAATAATTCGCTGGATATATTTTGCTGGGTCTACAAATTATCTTGCTAGAAATTATCTTGCTATGAACGAATTAATAAAGATAGGAAAACATTACTTTGTCCTAACGTCAAATTGACGTGTCCTAAGGACAAATTCAGTTAGAAAAATTTGTCTGCCCGACAACAAAACCATTTCTATTCTAATTATGCGAATAATTCACTAATTTGGTTATGCCAACTAAATTTTATCGCTGTCGTAACGAATATGCAGTAGCAGCAATGGCTTCGCTGGCGAAATTATTTTTTTCCGTGTATGTTAATTTGAAAGAAATCTTAATTCCGTAATTGAGGCAAAATTGATCGATCGAGGATCAATTGACAATTAGTAGATCTCTTACGTTACATGTAGCATATTTCATCCGCGCGTTCCTTTTGTTCTAGTCATCAATATTTCTTTTAGTTGATTTCGTACGCTCGAACTCACTTTTGGTTCGGCGTGTCTCAGCTAAGTTTAAGTTTAATTACACGTACGACGTCCGTCAGTGCTCTTATCGTAATACGGAGAATTGCCGCGTATCAGGGAAAATATATATTGTACATAATTTATACTTTATCAATAAAAAAATGCATATTTTACCTAACGCGCGTGTGTGTCGGCAATCCAATTTTCGTGATCCCGTCGCACCTTCACAATGTTCCACGAAATGTCCCGATCCACTTTGCAGGAATGGAACAGTCGCTCGGGAATGAAAGTGCACGTGCCGCGACACGCGTCCTGCCGCGGGAAGCCACCGCAAGGCAGATGCATCACAAAACGTTCCTGAAGTCACATCTACCCGTATAATCCGGGGGATTACACATGAAACAGGACTGCGAAACGTTCAAACGGACGTGAACGTGTTGAACAATCAATTATCGCAGTTTATCAATTTCAGTCATTCGCGCTCGAATTCACGTCTTGATTTAATTTTAGCAATTAAACTTTGGCAATTGATAATGAAACCTTGATGATTGAATCGCGATAATTTTGATCATGCGAAAGGTGATTTCTTCAAACTTCAATTTTCTCTTTCTTTCTCTCTGCACTTGAAGAAATTATTATTCGCTACCTACGCCCTTGCGTGGCAAAAATGGATTTTTAGCGATTGAATATCCGAGATCCTTGATGCAGTTTCGTTTAGTTCTTTTACAACATGATATTTTGATAATCGTTATTTTTTGCATTACAATATTATATTCCGCAGCCATAAAGCGAGTCTTAAAATCTTCGCGAATATTATCGCAGTCGGATTTATCCCGGCGTGAATTCTTCCAGAACGTTCGCACAAAGGAGATACGCTCGCGCAGAATTTTCCATCGAGCGTGCGTGAATTTCGCCGTACTCGAAGAACAATCGCTCGTTATTATGCAAAAGCCTCCCGACGAGGAAAGCAATTTGCATAACTAGAGCAAGTGGGTGTTCCCTCATTGTAGCGTGACTGCCAAGTGTTAGGAAAATAAATAGGCCAGTTCGATCGTTCAATCAAACGGCGAACGAACGAGAGAGGATCTGTCAAAACAGCTGTTGGCTGGAGCGCCCAAAATGGAAGGATAATATTTTCCTGCCTGGTCCTCAAGAAAATTTCACTTTCTCTCTTTATCTTTCGAGACCCACTCCCGCTCATTCGTCGCGATAATATTGATCTACAATTAGTTATCGCGTCATTCATTAAAAAATCATTAGAATTATTTTTCACTACAATTTATTATATTTATCATTTATTTATTCATTATTATACGTGTATATTTAATTGTATCGCTACGTGTTTATTTTACTAAATTGCAGAGAGGTCTAGTATTGCTTTGTTATATTATATTAGCACATTTGCTGAGCAGGCAAAGTGTTAATCTTCTTTGATATACACCAAGATTTAATCTGTAGGAACAAATATATGATAAGCTCAGATTTTGCAGATCGCTGATTCGGGCATGGCGATCCATCAAAACAGCTACTGCGCGAGCCAGTAATTTCCTATACGAGATCTATTTGCAAACAGCGCGCAAGCTGCAACGAATCCGTTAGCACGCTCGATCGTTTCCCTAAATTCCGCCAATAATAGTAATGCCTCAATGGCGCTATTATGCGGACGATATATCAGTGTGTGCCTAGCGTGCGACAGACGGCCGGCGTATATAAAGGTGTCGGATTTTGGGGGATTCAATCAGTTTTTGCCAAGGGATTACACCCCGCATCCACGTCCACGTATCCAGCGGTGTTAAGAAAAAAGAACGATAATAACACATGAAAGCGAGTGCGACCAACAGTCCTATCGCACATTCTGTTGCCACAGAATGTTCCTCAATAATAGCGGGAAATTATTTACGTATCTTTAAGCTAACTTGCAGTTAATTTTTCTCTTGCCTATTTTATAATATTAAATATCTCGACGACGGAAAATTAAATTAAATATATAAAAATTTCCAAATGAAATATGATAATGATAATAATAATAACTTTATTGGTCTGGAACAAAATTAGGAATTAAAAAAATAAAGAATAAAGAGTGTGTTAATATTATTGTAATAATTATTACAAAACGAACAATTTAAATATTTACTATTGTAGATTTTTAGAAGACATTTAGAAAACAAAATCAATTATCTCAACGAAACATTAAGTTAAATGCTCGTTAAAATTCTCTCGACTGGGAAAACACGATTTCAACATTCCATGTCATTCCAAACCGTGTTGCTTTACGAGTAACAGCTGTGACACTTATTTCGCACATTAAGCATTTTCGGAAGATATTTTTCGCCGACGGTAGTCAAGAAGCGATACAGTTTCGAATTTTTCTTCGCTTGCTCGTAGAAGCGGGACTCATCTTTCGAGACACACACACACACGTTCTCGTGGGTGTCGGAGTATGCGAGGTCCACTGATAAAACATCCAGTGATTCGATCGTTGTAGGATATTTTTTGCGCCGCGAAGTCGCAGACGTGGTGATTTCGCTTCGATCAACCTTCCGTTGGGTCGTTTCCGTCGAGTGCACATATCGATCGGACGGTCGACCCTTATTGTGCCTGCGCGCTGGTCTGTACAGTGACATACTGGTGGCTGACAGAGACGGTGGTTCCCCCCGTGGAGTCGCCCTGCGCGGCCACGAGGGGGGCGAGCCGGGCACGGTTACCGAGGGCGCGGGTGCGACGGGGGAGGCGACGCGGGCTTTCCTAATTCGGGAAAACTCGTGAAATTACCTTGACCGATCGTTGAGCACTTAATCGAAGATTAATGGCGGTGCCTTTGGAGGTCAGCCCTCCGACAGCGATTCGTTCTCGCGCCGCCGGTTCAATTCGCCTCGCGGCCAGCAGTCGCGTCGTTCCCGATCGAAACCGCACAGCTCGGCGAATTTTGCATCGACCGATTGCGAAATGTTGTTTGTGGGACAATTAGCAATCGGAGAGCACAGCAAACCCGGAAGTGTTCCCCGAGGAGGAGGCCGACGCGTCGAATCAGCTTTCGCTTATTTGTTGAATTTAAGGATTTATCGCTCGTAACTCATAACTTTTTCATAATAATGAAAAAATTATGGAAAAATTACAAATTGACCTACATTGCATTTCAAAATGATTCTAAAAGTTTGACGATAATTCAGAGCCTGGATCCGTAGTTATTTCATTTTGAAAGAGATAGCAAAGTGTAATGACTTTGATAAGAATTCGATGAAACTCGCACTGCGTACATACCTTAAAATATTATCTAACTCATTGCCCGAGCAATTAGAAAAAGATCGACCATTTTCGAGAGTTGAGATGTTTGTAACTAATATCGACACTTCAACTCCGTTTCAAATTAACATTTATTATTTAGGTAGTGAAATAAGCATGTAAGAACGCAATTCTGCTTAATAAATACTAAACTTATAAATTTGAAAATACGGCACTTATAAATTTGAAAATACGGCACTAATGGGTAACACATCACATAAGTTCGATTATTTGTTGGAATTACATTGGATCACTGATCGTTCACCGGTTGTTTACCAATTGTTTACCAAATTAGGCACTGATGCTCACGGGAAATCAACGCGCGCTTGTAAACGCGAGAGCGGCCGATCGTGTGTCAGCGGAAAATCCGGGCGGCGTCGGAGGTCGTCCAGCGAGAGTCGAATTTCCGCAT